ATTATATTTAAATTAAAATGAGTTCAAGGTAAAAAAAGTTAGGTTTTAATTACCTCTAATGGTCCCATAGATCAAAGCAACAGTTACTATTAAACCACACTTATACAAAACTATTAACATTTCTAATAACCAAACTATAGCCTTGCAACTGTTAAAAACTCCTATTTTGCATAATTTTTACATTGTGAATTTTTGTTTGGTCTAACGAAGTGAGACTTTATTTTTATACTAAAAGTATGCATTTGATGGGCGAACCCAGCGGGAAAATATTTGTTACTTAAGGTAAAGTAAACATTTCTTGATTTATGGTTGGAATCAATATAACGTTTTCAGATGAACAGTTATAATAATTTGGTTTTTATTTACGATTTTATTTAGGAGACTGAATTCTGATTGAGTTACAATCAGCTGAAATAAGTTGTCTGTTCGATTGAACATTTTATCTTTCATTTTGTTAAGGACACTAAATCCTAATTGGAGTTTGATCTTACTATATTGAATGTTAGAGCTGTCAAGATTCTGCTTGTTTCCCTAGAGATACCAAACAATGCCTTAAACATAATGAATATTTAATTCTTGGGATCAAAATAGGATACAATATCAAAATTATTAAGTTGTTATATCTTTATTTGTCCGTATTATTAAATCTTATATTTTATAAAAATCGATATATATTGAGGAAATTACTATAAACAAACACATGCAAATTTCATGTGTTTTAAAAAGACTCGTTTAAAAAATATTGGTAATGCTGGCTGATGAAAAAAAAACCAGATGATGAATTTTCTTGACGACGCAAAAAGACTTGAATACACAATTTAGAATATGACCGTTGTTTTCTAGTCTTTTCGTTGATAGATAAAGTCGAACGTTCGGTTTGTCAGTTATTGTGGAGTTCCCCTTTTTGAATTTACATTTGAGTTCGGTATTTTGTTTTCTTGCATAATTTATAATAAATAGATTTCAAATTAGAACAGAGCATCTAATAATCCAAAGAAGGAAATTCTAGAATACTGTAAATATCATTAAAAAGAAAGTTGGCTACCACAAGAGAGTAGTATAATTTAGAAACGATTTAATTATTTTATTACTGAAATCATTTTAAAAACATGACTTTAAATTTGACTACGGTAAAAACTGTCGTAGAATTTGTACTTTACGTTTAGCTTGAATTTATCTCTTTACAAATATGGCTATAAATCAGAGACAGTTTTGTTGAGCACCGACTGACGGGTATTTATTGACTACAAGCGAATGACGTTTTCAAAATTTTCTCTTCTTAATTTTCGTTATGAAAATTCCAAGAGTTCCAATTTCTTAAAATTGGAAAGGCAGGTAACTGGACATCTGTCGACAAAAGAAAATGATTGATTTTTAGTTTGTTTAGCGTCCAGTGGCAAATACTACATCAATATTCATGACGAGAACACATTATCAATAAATCTTCTTAGTAGACTACCCAAAGTGAATAGAGCTGGATGAAGGACGTAAATGTTGGACCTCCACTATAAAATGAGGGACATGGATAGGGGTAGAAATTTTGCTTTGCAACAGGCCACTTAAAATACCCTTAAAGAGTTGTTACAAGGATTATTTAATGTGCAGAGATCGTAGCACTTTCTTAAAGAGGTATCATATTGGACATCTCCATTTCGAACGGACGTGGCTGAGTATTTATACATCCCGTACAGCAAAAAAAAACATATTGTACACTGAGGATAATAAAACTTTGAATCTGAATCAAAAAGAAGTCCCTCGTTGACATTGGTTTTGCTGCCAGATGGAAGAAGTCTAGACACTATTAGGTTTACTGAGAAGGTGCACATAACGAAAATGAAAAGGCGAGAGAAAAGTAATCAAAATATAATTAAAATGTCATAAATCATATTATGCAATGTAAATGAAAGTTTCTTTTAATAATTTCCAAATATATTCCAGGAGGAGTTTCTCCTAATTGAACTTCTAAATCGCTCTATGTTGTATCCGGTTTTTACTGTCTGTTGACAGTGACGAAAACTAATATCACACACCTGGCGGATATAGCAAAACTCCCCTTTATTTATTTCATTCATTGGACATTTTTCAACTCAAATTAGTTTGCAATGTAGAAGGATTTAATCTGTTTGCATAAAAATATATTTTGTTGGTAAAAATTGTCGATTTTTTCCTACAGCTCGAGGGTAAATTCAAAAACGTCACGTTTCAATTCTAAGTAAATAAAAGAAGATTATAGCATTATCGAATACTAGAATTTCATACACGTTAGTACACATTCAACATTCAAGACATATATCTGAAAAAAAATTAACCCATAAAAAAATCCAACTCAAATATCGACCTTTGTATCAAAAATAACAATGCATAGTAGATTTAATGAAGGGTTAGATATTTAGACTGTCACCAGAAAAGTGGCATGTTGGACAGAGACCGAAATGTATCCTTGCAACAGGTCACATAAAGACTACTAAAAGAGTTGTTTTAAATATGTGTATTTAATGTTCAAGGAGATTGGCACTCTCTCCATACACGAATCATACTAGGATTTAACGTCCTTATTCAGACCTGTCGTGACAGCGTATCCATACATCCCACACATCCAAACGGACTCTTGAGAATGCATTTTTCTTCTTGATAAAAACAAAATGCAGGTGCTCGTATTTCTATACCCCAGTCGACCTTTGCCGTCTTACATCCGACGTGCGTCTGACAATTTTGATAGATAAACTAAAAAGGTAAATCAGAACGATTGGGATGTTCAAATATTTTCACTCTAAGAAAACGGATGTTCCCTTTAACACAGAACTCAAATTAAACATACATATGCCCTATTTCTACTGTATTTACAAAAAATTTGGTTGAAATTGATTTTGGTTCTAATTTGTTCTCGTTGATCTTCTATAACTTTTGATTTTATTTTTACTTTAAGACAAAGCTGCGTCCTAGCTCTTGTTCAAATTCTTCATAAACTTTAACACTCGGGTCGAAAGTTTGGAGCTAAAGATGTGTATGTACATGAACCATTCATGAACCATGTAACATTGATCAATTATCTATATAATTATATAATTATTATTGATGCGCAAAGATCAGAAACACAGTTTGGCAGTATTTGGCCACAGCTTTATTACAAACTACACAATTATAAATCCATAACTATAATTTACAAAGTACAAACTCATTAATTGACACATACATTGAAATATAAACAAAGACCACTAATGGCGAGGTCCCTAGCTTAGGACAGAAGCCTCCTTATTTTTTTGTATTTGTGTTCATGGGTTGTTGTCTCAATAACGCACCACATTCCTTTTTTAGATGCCAGTTATTTTCCATTCGTTCCATTGGTTGTTACAGTCTAACGTTTGATTTTGTCATGCAGGTTTATTGACTTCACTCCTTTTTGAATTTACCTTCGAGTTCGGTATTGCTGTTAATACTGTTTTATTCATTTTTACTTTAATACATTGAGGGTCAAGGGTTAAACTAGTATTTAGTAATAACCCCCCCTCCCTTTTTGCCAAGAATTATTGTGGGTAATTGTTTAATTATCATTTTTACTTGACGAAATGTGCAAAAAATAGTCAACCTCGACTACTGGACACTGCACCAAAATAGGTATATGTATTACTGAAAAATTATTACACCAGGGTTTTCGATATCATAAACTAGTCAAAACATTTACTAAATTTTATCATCGGTATAAGGACATCATTCGTAAATATAACTCAACATGCAGACATCTTATACGTTCGGGTATTTCACATCCAATCTTTTATGGTAATATTCTTTACAAAGCACAAAAATGTCAGTATTCACCTCAAAAGCTAACAAAACCTTTAAACAGACTTATTAAGAAGGGATATAGTTACGATACTGTTGTCAGGTCATTAAAGATTGCATATTTTGGCTTTAATATTGATTCACTTATAGGGTCTTTGCATCGGAATTAAACACATTTATTTAAAAAAAAACAGTTGTTGGCATGATACCGCTTATGTTCTTCTCATATATTTTATGATGGTATGATACTAAACCCCTAACGGGAGGGATTGTACTTGATTTTCATATGATGAAGACATAATCTTTCAATCAGTTTAATTGAGGTCTGGAGCTGGCATGTCAGTAACTGCTAGTAGTCCTTTGTTCATTTATGTATTATTGTCATTTTGTTTTTTTTCTTTTGTTTCCTATTCTGACATCGGACTCGGACTTCTCTTGAACTGAGTTTTACTATGCGTACTGTTGTACGTTTGTTTTTTCTACATTGGCTAGAGGTATAGGGGGAGGGTTGAGATCTCAAAAAACATGTTTAACCCCGCCGCATTATTGCGCCTGTCCCAAGTCAGGAGCCTCTGGCCTTTTTTAGTCTTGTATCATTTTTAATTTTAGTTTCTTGTGTATAATTTGGAGTTTAGTATGACGTCCATTATCACTGAACTAGTATACATATTTGTTTAGGGGCCAGCTGAAGGACGCCTCCGGGTGCGGTGGTTTCTCGCTGCATTGAAGACCCATTGGTGGCCTTCGGCTGTTGTCTGCTCTATGGTCGGGTTGTTGTCTCTTTGACACATTCCCCATTTCCATTCTCAATTTTATATCTATATGTAGACCTACATGTATTTAACCCTCCGTCTTTTTCATATAAATATGCATGACATATATATGTTAACACCCATAGAAACATCTTATGCTGATAGAATAAAGATTCAATCTATAAATAATCGCTTGTATGATTTTTCAGCGACGTATTAAAATATCAATACAATTACATATATCATATTGGTTTCAAGCAATTTTATTTCTTTCAGATGAATGAATAAATTGCTTTCACTTCAGCTATAAAAGTACAGTGTTAATTCAACATAAATGATCCCTTGCAAGATGTGTGTAAGTCGTGATAAAAGGTTTAAATTATATCTTATATTTATTTTTTGATATATAAAATTGTTATTAATAATATTTAAATGCATCTCAAATTATATTTACATCATCTTTTTCAGAGGATAATGTCGATATAGCTTGTGTTGGATATTTCACATATAGATGGAAAGGATGAGGGGTGATAGACCAAAAAGATCTAAATCTCCTATTTCACGGAAAAATCAACGTAAAAATATACCATCAAGAAGACCTGATCCTGGCACAGAAGATTTTATACGATTCGTTCGCGATTTTCAAGTAAATCGTCAACCAACTTTCACTGGAATTCAGCGAAGGGCTCCGCTTCCCGAAATAGGACAACCTTTGAACGCCGGGCTCAATGATTCCGGATTTTTAGATAGACTAAATGATGAATATGACGAAACTGCTTTAGAAGATGAAATTATTTATTCAAATAAAGTTTCTGTTCCAAGAAACGATCGAATAGTTAAGGAAGTGTTAACGATAACACGACAACAAACTAGAGACAATTTATATTCAACTTGTAAATCTAAGATAAACAATGATAGTTTTATACTTTCGAGACAAAAGAGTAATTTACATAGAACGTGGTCACTGCCTCAATCGAAACAACACAAATGTGCCAAGTCTTTGAAAAACAGACAGTCTCTAAAACAGTTACCTCCCCTTTTCAACGACGAATTGCCAGCTAGACCAACAGCGCCATCACCGTCGATGACGCCACCGCTGGATGATTCCGATGGAAGTGTTGAAGATCAAGTGGAGTTCCTTGATCTTTCTTGAAATCTCGTGAAATCTCGTAGTTCTTAAGTGCCAGGTCTAGTCAGTTAGAAAATATGGATACTTTAGTGTAGAAGTCACATAGTGTTCGATATGTAGAATCATGAGCATGATATTTTCTTTTAAAATGTATCAATATGTAACTATTTGACGAGTCACCTTTTTGTATATGTACGCAACAGTAAAGAAAGCAAAGTTACATGGAGTGCCATTGTACATTTATTGTAAAAATGTTGTCAGTGTAAAAGATAATTTTTAAAATTATATAATTTTAAAGGTGACATAATTATACTGACGGATGTCAGCTGCTGAAATTTAAGAAATATAAAATAAGATAACATAATCGAAAGGAAGTGAATTTTAACAGTGAAAGGAAAATATTAATAGAGTTTATGGCAAGACATGATTTTTTTTCGTACCGGAAATGTATGGAAAAAATACCAAACTGTATGAAAATGAGCTTGAAATAACAATATGTTGAACATTTTTTGTAAAAGTTACTTATAATTATTTTTATGCATTGCTTAGGAAAATGTTAGAGGGTGTACGAAATGACACATACGAACAGCAGAACGAAAATTCGTTAGAAACGTAAATTATGTATATAACAGATACATGCAATTTCTGTCAGATTTATTTAACGTATATTAAGAGTATGATACTCATCTGTATGCAAATGAAACTTGGAATATGTGTATGTATATATAGACATCAAAGTACGCTACAAATAATGCCTTGTCTTATTCGTTGTTCTCAGGGAGTGATATTTTGTTGTTAATTTTCATAATGATCTTGTACCAAAGTAAATATTAAGATTTGTAATGAAATTGTCTTTTAATTTTTTGGCCTTTATCTGTAGGTTGAAATTCATTGCAATTCCAAACTGGATACAAATTTACGCGATCGATAATCTAAGGGACTGGGTAATTAAATTGTTCCGATCTTCCATAACGAAAAATACGTCACGCCATTGGTTGCATGATACTGTTTCGGAGGTTTTTAACCAATCACAACGTTTGGTCTACGCTTTTGAAAATATTACCCACAATGTACATTCTATTCTGAAACGGTGAATTGCAAACTTGTATTAATCTAAACAAGTTGGAAAAGGATATATGATGGATGCAACTGAAAAAAAATGAAATCTCTTGAATTACATGAAAATAACCAATATATTACAGAAACGTAACTTTTATTCGACTGTTCTTCATTATGATATTTCCTAGAAAATGTCTCTCGATGACTAGGAAAATTCACCTCACAGCTAGATCAAAACGGTCCAGAGCGTCGAATTAACCGGTACTGTTTGGTTTAGTATTTGAGTTGCATATCTAAAACTGTCGAAATCTTCCTACAATTTCTATCGTTCATTGTCCGACAAAAGACTTTGATTATAGTTACTAAAATTAAGAGACAACCACAGTAAATTATCAAGACATGAGGAAGTAAAACATAAACTAATTTCCTCATACAATCCCTATCAACCGTTACCCGAAAAAGACTATGAGTGTATCAACTTAAAACAAATCAACAATCACATTACATTATCAAGACATGTGGAAGCATTCAATAAAATGTATGTAAAACTGGCGAACTCTTTCTACAATATCTATCATTCATAGTCCAGAACTTAATAGACTATGATTATATCACCTGAAAACAAAACGACACTTACATGACGTCACACCTTTGGAGGAAAATTTAGGCATTCAAATCGATAAAGTGCATAAATGTCTTAAATGAAATATGACTGAAGTTAAGTAACTTATAAATTGAATTACCTTATGTTTGGAAATATGAAATACAAGAAATATGGGAAATATTAAAGGAATAAGATAAATGTATTTAAATAGTTGCAACTGTCAAATGCACAATTGACGATGCTAACTATTCAAAAACAGAACTGTCATGAAATACTCGTAAAATGTCTAAACACAAAACATTTGAAATCTGCCGAAAACGTTGACGCTGATTGCGCAGCGATGTTGCTAATGATTCCAATCACCAACCGTGGAATTGACAATTCTAAGACATCATCCACTCAAAAGTGGCGTTACATATTGTATCACAGTAGAACATGCTTCGTCAGGCTTGTTGTTACTTTCCAATATTTCAAAAATATAACAGACGAAAAACAAAAAGAAGAGATTAGAAATGGTAAATTTTATGCAGGAAACAAATTCAACCAGATTTTTTTTAATGAGAAAAGGTGCATTTTTGCAGAAAATAAATTTAAATGTAAAACGTTAGGTTTCCAATGTGTTCCAAACAGCAGAAAAAGTAAATGCACGAACTGAGTTATGGCGTAGTTTCGCAAAAAAAAAAAAAACACATTTAAATAAACCATAACGTTCTAATTGCTTGAAACAATATTACACTGAAATTCGCTTTAAGTATCATACTCTTAAAAAAAACTTCACAGCGGGTCATTCCACGATGATTTAAATTAAAGTCTATTAATCTTAGAATGACATTCAGGAAGTAGTTAAATTGATTCATATTCAACTAAGCGTTGAGTGTACTCGATTTGAAATAGGTAACAAACCAACAAAAAAAAATGGTTGGAAATATGCGGAAAACATGAATAGAGGTACGGAACATACTGCTCACAATGAAACAATGTCTTAGTACATGCAAATTTATTCTAACAAAAACATGTAACATCTTAAAGAAATACTAATAAAAATATCTGTAACAGAGAAAAAACCTGGTCCCTTTCCCAAACATTTTTTTTCGCGCTTTTTTCACATGTCATAAAAAACTGTAGTAACGGAAGGCTATTAAGTTCACAATTTGGCAATAAATGTCATGAAAATTCGAAAATGGAATTATAGCACACATTTTAAAGGAAAAAATAGCCACAAACTTCAATTGTTCTTGTTTAGTTTCAAGATCAAGATGTCATTATGAATCCCTAACTATGTTTTTTGACTCAGAAAAAAAAATCGTATTATTTTACTATTTTTCATACAATACAATATTCAAATGGATAAATACCACTTGTTCTGACCAAAATATTCATGATTCTGTGTATCTTACTTTTCTACATAACATATTTTTTAGTAAGACAGTGCGACCAACTTTTCCTAAAAGGGCATAAATGTGGACTTACATAACTACAAACAATAATCTATATAAGTTTGGTGGTTTGGAGGGGGGATTTGAAATTGAAGCATAAAAATAGTTACCCAAAAAATTGAAAACATCTTTTGGTTTTTAGAATTTTCCTATTTCTACATAAAAAGACAAATATCTAAAATTACAAAATTGTTTTCATTGTGACATGAACCGAATTCATCATCAAAATTAGAAAGTGATTTGAACGTTTTGTCTTGCAATGCGTACGCAAACTGTGCTTGCTAAAACACATTGAATTAAAATATTTTTTTAAATGGCCGCCATATACATATTCGATTTTTACAGATCGAGGTTGAACGAGACTAAAAGAGGTACAAAGTCATAAATAAATTTATACTGAAGAGATTTTTGCGTCTCAAGTTATTTGGTCTACAGAAATATGCCTAATGGTTCGTTAGGTTATATTTAAATGAATCGCAAGAAATCTAGGTAAATCGGAAATAAGCCAAATGTACTGAATAATTGTTCTTTTTGCACTTATTGATAAGAAAAGAACGATCGTTTTATGCAAATTAAAAGGACAATTGTAGTTCAAATCATACAAAAGATAGCGTTTTAATAGAACACAAGTCGTCTAAAATTTTATTGTTCTTTCTTTTTATTTGATAACATCAAAGATTTGTCTTACTACACCGTGAAATCCTTGGTAAAATAAAACTGGAATTCAATAATTCAACTTGTTTGTGCTGAGAGCGTCAGTATTTAATAAATCTGTATCGAATTTGCCGGGTTTCAGGGTGTTTTAAGTATTGAACGAAAAAGTAAAGGCACTTCGAACAAAGAAGACAGAAGAAGAAGACACTGTAACATCTACATTTATTTCAACATACGTTCTATCAAATAAAATTGTTGGTTTTTTTTACCTTATCCTACCTAAATTATCTGTGATTCAGCAATTGGTGATTGAATTTAACCATACCAAGTATTTATATTCTTCAAACCGGCAGTGATAAGGTATGACCGGAAACGACATTGTATAATCGATTAAACAATAAAATAGGCACGGGAAAAAAACTAAATTGGAACCTTGACATTAAGGGAAGACATGCCTAACATATTCATTGCACATATTTGGTCGTAGGTAAATACACATTACAAATATCATATAAAAATATTCTTAAAATGTATAGTGGTTATCGATGAAAACCGATGATGATGCAATGACGATAGATTGATGTTTACCGTCAAGTGAAAACTAGTACATGCCTACCACGATGAAACATGTTGATTGCATATGAATATGAACCCCGCTTAGTATAAGTCAGACATGCTGAGTGGATTTTTTTCGCATCCTAGTTCACAATACGTCTCTGCACCGACTAGTTTTGTTCCTACTTCTAAAGGTTACGTGCTTAACGGAGAAGAAGCAAATACCAATTTTCAAATCTTTGATTTGATCCGCGGCTTCTTCACTCGAAGAATGAATATCGAAGACCATCGCTATATAGACACTAGTAGCCGTCTAATCCTTTTTGTATGTGTGATAATTAGTTCACCATTGAGGAATATGCAGCAGCTCTCAAGATGAGGAACATTAAAACACTACTGACCTTTGACAATTTGGTTATTTTAAAGTGTTTGTGTTTTGTTTTGTTTTGTTTGTTTTTTGTTTGTTTGTTTTTTGTTTTTTTTTTTATCTCATGCATATGCATGCAAAAAAAAATCGCGAATCCTAAGGATGACCACTTAAGGGAGCTACCATTTGATTTTTATGGGGGGGCTAGGATGAAAAATTTTGTCCTGCCTATTTATTTTTCCCTCTATTCGGTCCTGCCTTTTTATTTTTCACTCTATTTGGTCCTGCCTTTTTTTTTTTAGTTTATCCTGACTTTTTTTTTACATAAATTGTCATCCTGCCTTTTTTTTTCAAATAATCTCATCCTGCCTTTTTTTTTACTCAAAACTCCTGTCCTGCCTATTTTTTTCAAATTTCATCCTAGCCTCCCCCCCATAAAAATCAAATGGTAGCTCCCTAAATGAATGTTAACGTATGCATTCCATGAGAACAGTCTGCTTTGGCAGTTTCATTATGTATAAAGTTCAGTTTACGGAATGCATATGCAATTAATTGAATTAAATTCCTAGTAGCAATGACATAATTTGGACTACTTGTGTGGGAGTATTCCATTGAATTTAACGTCCTCATTCCGACATGACGTGGCTGCGTACTTAGACATCCTGCAAGACCAAACGGACTACTCCTCAACTGTTTGGTTCACTTCAGTACTGGAAAAACAAAGATGAGCAATAAGAACTTATACAGTTATAGAGCACATTAGTGTCAATCAAGGACACCAGTAAACCAACGCCTGTACATATTTTCATTTTGCTTGCTGTAGGTCCTGCCCTTTCCGACTTTGTTTTGAACGGAACTGTTTAGAATTACATCATTTTAAAGAAATTTGACAAAGTGACATAAATGTTTAAAAGGAACAAAAGCAATCGTGACCGTTATAAAGTAATTATATATTGTATACAGTTCTTTTGATGACGGTTATTATCTTGTAAAGAGGTGTAATGAAGATTTTATTAACCGTTATAAACAACGCCTTTGTGAATATTGATACATAAAGGCGTCTTTCAAAATCATTTTGGAATAATTTTCCAACAAATTTTGCAAGTTTAATGTGATTTTTTTCGGAACATTAGATAAATTAAAGCAAACTAGATCTGAATGCATTAGACAAAT